TTACTACGCCTCACAATATAGTACCCGTTTTATCCGCTGAGAAAATCGACTGTTACATTTCTGTGTTACTATACTTTGCAGTGTAACACGTCACGTAACTATATACATTTAATAGGGAACACTTGGAAGAGTTTGGTAGCTTCTAGCGGGAGCTACCTTTTGGTGCTACAAAATATACAAGGGAGGCTGCGGTTGTGCTCCCGTTTTTGCTCCGTTTGCATGACAGAGCGCACGGACTAAGACCAGACAGGTACGTATTAACTAGTCTAAGGTAAGGTAAGAACATATGTCAGTATGTAAAAACGGTGAACTATTCCTTTAACATGTGTTCCACACTCTGCTCTGAGAGTTTGGGAGAGGTTTGTGGTGTGTTGTGTAGAAATAAACAAAGTAGATTAATGTTGAATTATTATCAATGAATTGAAATATACACACCTATCTTTAGATTTTGTTTACAAATAGTTCTTACTACTGTAGTCGTTGTTGTTTAAGGTTTCAAATAATTTAATATGGAAGAAATAGCTTGAACGGATTTCTATTAAATAAATATTTGTATGATGTCCGGACCCTAATCTATTGAACTCATCAAGAAAGTGGACCTCATGCCAATTTAATTGGGGACCCCTGGTTTATAGTGTCTGCTAATATGGCCCTATCTATTACTACTTTTTCTGATCACATTTCACTGAGTTATGTATTTCCCATCGTTTTCCATCGCTATAGTTTCAATAAAGGTACTTTTTCTTATAGTGCGAGCACGCTGCCACAAATAGTGTGTTGGCGCGGCCACTAGAGGGAGCCAAAAGCAAGCAAATCATTCCCAGTTCTCTCCTCGTTCTTTTCAACTGTTATATTTGTAAATAGTTATTTGTATAATTCTAAACTCACTTTTTGTTGTTGTTTTAGTTTCTTATATTTATAAATATTGTATTTTTTCCACTATCATGTAAAAACTCATCACATAAGATCATGACATTTTTGAAAATATGTCTAAAGATTTTGTCTTCAATGGACTTGAAATGACCCGAAACGTGCTCATTTCGTGATTCTGACAACATTTTTTTCCCCCAACACTTTTCGCCTTTCTCGCTGTCCCATTCATTTCAATGCGGAACTTAAAACGTTTATAACTCCCGAACCAAAGGTCTAGAGACTTGAAACCTTGATCCGTCAGACATAAGTTGGGTCTTCTGAACACGCCAGTCTTGGTCCCTTTTGGCAGATATCGCGAGAATGGAAAGTCCCACACGAGAAAGGCTGGCACCATTTGAAAGCCAACCTCATGGAAAGGGGGGAACATCTTGGTTTCAATGCTCTACGACGTTCCGTTTCTGAGATATCAGCCCTCAAACCTTTATGGGAGGGGGTCCCATGAGTGGTTTCTTACCCCCTATTCTAACTCTAACCCTAACCCGTAACACTAACCCTAACCCTAACCCTAGCCGTATCCCTAACTCTAACCCTAGCCGTAACACTAACCCTAACCCTAGCCCTAACCCTAACCCTAACCGTATCCCTAACCCTAACCCTAGCCCTAACCCTAGCCGTAACCCTAACGCTAACCCTAACCCTAGCCGTATCCCTATCCCTAACGCTAACCCTAACGCTAGCCGTAACCCTAACCCTAAAGCAAAAACACACAACTGCACAAACACACAGGTCGAAACGTGTTTTATCTCTTATATATAGCTCTTTTAACGTCCTTTATTTATTTATTAATTCTGAGAACCTGCGCATTTTAAAATTTCTTAGACCTTTTAAGGTCTTTCTTTTGCCTCCTATAACACAAAGGAGGTAGGGCTGGGATAAACGATTATTTTTTAAACGATTAATCTAGCGATTATTTTTTCGATGCATCGATTAATTTCACGATTATTTTTTTCGCTTCAATTCGATTTCGATTCGATTCTCGATTATCTCCCCATTAATTTACTAATATTGATGTATACATGTTGATTTAAATATTTTAATGAAAAAAACATGAATTCCTTCACAAAAAATATTTATTGCTTGCTCTTAAAATTCAAAAATAAGACATTCTTAGAGGTAGCATAAAACCTTAAAGCCTTGAAAACACAGCTTACTGAAAAAAGTGCATCTTATCATTCTTGAAACAAACATTTGATGCTTAGCATTCAATAAAAATATGAAAAAGTTCAGCCAAATACTTTTGTAGAGCAACTAAAAGAAAACAGTAACCAATGTAAACTTGAAGGCTTTAAGCTAAACAAAGAGTGCTTTTCCAGCAAAAACAGTGGGAGCCATCAGCCTGTCAGGGCGTCCTTCCTGAACCAACAGAGTTTAACATTTAAGTTGAAGACACATAGGCCTATATTACTGAAGTCCATTAATTAAAGTGCATCTCTTAAATTCTTCATTCATATAAAAATAACAGTCAAAACTCTGCCACTCACCTTTTTCTTAAACTCAAAATTCAAAAATAAAATTCAAGTAAGAGTGTACAAGAGAAAAACAATGCATTGTGTAGCAAATAAAAAGGTCAACCAGTCATCCTTTCTTTTAGAGTTACTGAAAGAATACAGTAGAAGTCATCTCAGAGGACTTAAAACAACATTGAAGTCACCAACACAGATCAGAGAATCAATCAACAGTTAAACACATTAAGGATATTGAACACATGTTGAAAAATGTCCATATACGGCGGGCATGACAGTGAATTATACATGTAGGGGCTATTACGGGCGCCAATATTCCGTTTGATACAAAGAAAGACAGACTAGTTGTAAGCTGTAGAGTTGCCACAGGACGCGTCATCAGCCTACGTCAGCAGCCGCGGACTGCTATGAAAACATTAGCTTTGTGGTTTCACAGGCGCAGTTGACTGCTTAAACTAAACTTTGCACAAAACTTTGACTCTTAAAACCCACATGTGACAAAACGGAACCATCAACATCTGTTATGGAAATTCTAATGCTTCAAATGAATAAATCCAAGAGCAACCAGCTTGTCTTTGTGCAGTTTATTTACAGAGGTGATGAATACAATCAATGACATTTCTCTGCAGAGAGTGTCAGACCGAAGCTGTGTGCAAACCGGACGTTTCCACAGCCTCGCTCTGACTCTCGCATTCCAAACATGTTGATAATTATACTCGGGGCGTGAATCAAAGAACAATGAGCAGACGTCATGAACTCGGACAGACGGGGGGCGAGATGGGGTGAGTCATGCACGAGCAGGGGTAGAGGAGACGGGAAGAAACAGATAAGCGGAGAACATTTGAGATAGCACACCTGCAGATTGAAACAGCAAGCACACAGAGTCTATGGGAGAAGAGGACAGCAGAATGTCCCTTTGTGTTGAAGACAATAAGCCTTTGTGTAATGTAACAGTGATTATGAAAAATACGATCTCCCGTCCGGGAATCTCTTCAAATGTATCTGTCAGCTGCACAACACAATCACACAATCTCCTGATGCTGGGAATCTGACCATAACACATCTCGCCTCAAATTGCATTAAAAGTGACATTCGTGTCTGAATTTGTTCGTATTTTAACTTTTAAAGAAATTCACGGCCCGCCATCTTGATTTGCTTCGGCTGCCGTGAGACGCGCATGCGCAGGTTTGCATTACATCATAAACAGCTGAGGCTGTGCATCTCTTCAAGGCAGTGTATCTCAGCGTTACACCGGCTTGCACTTCTCTAACACGGCACTCGGATTGCTACCGCTCGCCGCCATCTTTGTTTTGTGTGTGACGCACCGACGCGCATATTATACGTCGGTGTATTTTTTGCGTCGACGTCACCGATTACGTCGGCGCGTTGTCCCAGCCCTAAAAGGAGGCAATCTGAAGTTTTAAACACTTTTAACAAAGTCTTTTATAAAAACAAAAAAAACCAAAAATCAAACAAAAAAATGCCAGAATACACCTGGACTCCCTCACCATACACCCGCAGCTGTCCACAGTGGACCCACTCCCAACGGGATTGGCCCACGTACGGTCAGAGGGGCCACAGTCTGCGGGAGCTCAATAGCCATCAGGACGAGTATGGGAGAGAGAGGAGAAGGGGTTCCCCATGGGAACGCGGCCCCCGTAGACGGCCCAATGAGTGGACTAGAGTCCCAGAAAGAGAGAGGGGACACTCTGTGGCTCCACCGTTCCATATTTTTTGCTGATACATCTGAAATACTGCCTCCCCATGTTTAGTCTGACTCTGGGCATCAGCATGAGGCCTGTCCCTGTGCTCCTCAGAGTCAGAGTTGGGTCATAATGCCACTAAAAAGTCTCAGGTGTACTTTGGTGCGGGAGACTAAAAACTGAAATAAAAATCATTATATTGCCTGTGGTCGGTCACCCTGCAGCTCCTGAGGGTTCTATTTTTTGACGCTTTTTCCATGTAAATGGCACACTTTGACACCAATTATCTCTGAATTTCTACAGTAAAAGTGAATGATATTTTACACAGTGGTAGAGGGCATCACAGTGAACAAGTGTACAGTGAAAGTAGTCAGGGAACTATTTTAGATTTTTTTTTAATGAATTTTAAAAAGTGCTTGTGGGACCAAAATGGCAAACTTTGACCCCAATTATTTCTGAATTTCTACAGTAAAAGTGAATGATATTTTACACAGTGGTAGAGGGCATCACAGTGAACAAGTGTGCAGTGAAAGTAGTCAGGGAACTATTTTAGATTGTTTTAAAATTAATTTTAAAAAGTGCTTTTGGGACCAAAATGGCAAACTTTGACCCCAATTATCGCTGCATTTCTATAGTAAAAGTGAATGATATTTTACAGTGTTAGAGGGCATCACAGTGAACAAGTGGTGCAGTGAAAGTAGTCGCAAAACTCTTTTTGTTCTTTTTTAATTATTTTCTTAATAAAATTGCATCTTGCTTGCTTCTCGTCCCGGCTTCCCTTACGTTTACCGTAAGTAACAGCATAAAGGAGCCAACCGCTTTCAAAGTGCGGACCTCTTTACCGCTGCCGACGAAATGCAGGGCCACTTTACCGCAGTATCTTACGGACCGTGCAGCAGACATGGCGGCTCGGCTCCTGGCGTCTGAGCTGGACTGCGGAGCGGGGTAACGTTAAAGACCAGAGTCAGTCTGTTGTTATCATTAGCAACATTAGCTGTTGTTAGCATTAGCATAATTAGCTCCATAGTTACATACAGCGACTTCAGACTGCAGCTCACTCCCTGTGTTTCCTCAGACTGTTTAGTCTGCTGTGTGTCTTTATATTAAACAATAGGAAAATGTATTTTAATTTCCGGTTAGAGCTTTGACCACACGATCCGCCGGAGATAACGCTGCTTCCTGGTTTGCGACACAAGTAGAGCTGGGACGTTTCGGGATATTTTAGGTTGGCTACCTCACATTTCGTCTGTATTATTTACAGTCTGTGATAAGTCTGAGAGTGCGTAAACAAGATACTTTCACACTGTAAACAATATTTAGGATCCGCTCATTGGGCCAAACATTTATTTTATGAAAGGCAACGCAAATGTTTGTCTTTTAATCAATAAAATGTCGTCTTATTGTGTCATACCATTGAGAGTAAATTACCTTTGGGCCAGGTTTACACAATCCATAATAATTGGTGTTCCATATGAAATTTGACAAACGGTAGGCTAGAGCTTCCGTATATAATGAAAATAAAATAGTTCATGTTGAGCAATTTAAATAAATTGAACGGACACACCTAATCCCAGGAGTGGAGGCTGGAGGATTTTACAAAGTTGTAGATTCGCCAAAAAAACAAAAATGCAATAATAACAAACACATAGGAGTCATAGGTTCATAGGGAGCGGCTGGAACACTGTCCAGAAATGTCCTGGATCATCACTGTTTGTGGGCCCTCCTGCATCAGAGCGGAACCACAGACACCCAGGACTGAGGCTGTAGATCCAGGACCGACCCAGGACTGAGGCTGTAGATCCAGGACCGAGGCTGTCCACTGTTTAAATTGTGTATTTAATCCGGTGATGTCTCTCCTGCAGATGCACACTGCTTGATTCTGTTGAAAACAAACAGCATATCATTCCTTCAAGTAAGTAACATAACAATTAAATAAATGTAGAATAATGTTGTTATTTCTCTTTTGTCTCAATAATTATGCTACTGAAGTTACAATGGTCCATGAAGTCCTATCTTAAGATTAATTTATATTTGTCAGTACCAACCAGGCCCTGCCCTGCTTAGCATTAAAGGTCTGACCGGATCTGACCAGACGCCACCTGCACTTTGAGTGAGTTTATCATTCCTTAGGTCACAATGAATAAAATCTGTCAAATGGACTGAGGCTGTAGACCCAGGACTGCTGTAGATCCAGGACTGAGGCTGTAGATCCAGGACTGAGGCTGTAGACCCAGGACTGATATCTGTGTCCTCTGTCCCACTGTCTCCTGCAGGTGTCCTCGTCCCCTCTGTGTCCTCTGTCCCACTGTCTCCTGCAGGTGTCCTCGTCGCCTCTGTATCCTCTGTCCCACTGTCTCCTGCAGGTGTCCTCGTCCCCTCTGTATCCTCTGTCCCACTGTCTCCTGCAGGTGTCCTCGTCCCCTCTGTGTCCTCTGTCCCACTGTCTCCTGCAGGTGTCCTCGTCCCCTCTGTGAGTTCTGGTCTGAAGCAGGAAAACCCAGAGAGTCCACAGATCAGCGAGGAGCCAGAGGAACATGGCATCAAACTGGAGGAAGATCTGCTGCAAATGTGAGTCTGTGTCTGTGCTGAAACTGCAGCATGTTTAAAACAATGAGCTGAGCCCAGATCTGTTGTGTGGATGCAGAACTGTGGGAGTGAAGGCAGAAGAACACAGTCTGCTCCAGGAAATCCCACAAAGTCCACAGACTAAAGAGGAGCCAGAGGAAGTGAGGATCAAACACGAGGAGGAGCCGCTGTAAGTCTCATTCAATATATCATTCTACATATTTACTGATGATAAATATCAGGTTCACATCAGTGACCAGTTTGATTTTATAATGTGCATAAAACATGTAGAGGAGTCGCCAGGGCTCAGGTCAAACACGTCTTCCACACTGCATTGGGGGAAGGTCACATGACTCACAGGTTCCACACAATAAGCTGAAGTGCTTATATACATAGAAGTATATCAGGATTGGACTGATTGGGCATTTGTCTTGAGGGCGTTAGCTTTGCACTGGTACAGGAGCATGTCGCTAAGGCGGTTGCTAAGGCAAGCTGGAGTTTCACTTTTGAATTAAGGCATCTGATTGGTCAATCCTTATAGGGCTCATATCTGTTATTGTCCCTCCCCAGAAAGGCCAGCTTTAATCATAAGTAATGTTTATTTATATAGCGCCTTTCCCAGACCAGAGTCTCAAAGCGGTTTACAATTGTTATTTTTGGGCATTTGTCCTCTCACTCCACACAGAGATGGGAGCGGGGTCACAGGGATATAAACTCGCGGTACACATGAGGACGCACGCAGGAAAGTAACCCTTCAGCTGCTCAGTCTGTAACAAAGCCTTTTCTTATTACATTGTGTGCACTTGTATATTGTAAATAGTAACTGTAACTCTATTTTAAATTTAAAGAAGCTATACCCGATTTTTTTTCTAAGTAGTTCATAAAAATGCTTTTTACTACATACAAGTTGTATCATAATACATCATTTAATTGAAAACTTGAGGTAATTGATTCAGCTGTGTAAGAATTACAAGCAGTGAAAAGTGCTGAGTAGAGTCTGAGCGGGCCGCTCTTTCTCCTCCGCTCACAGAACGAGCAGCGAACAGCCTGCGTCCTCTAGCCCCTACAGCGCTGCTTAACACCAGGGCTTCGACTTCAAAATTCGAATATAATTCTAAAATAAAAAATGATGAACAAAATAATTGAATAAAAAAATGTGAACAAATATTAGACAACCCTTGTAATTCGAAATGTATTTAATGACTGCAAATAAAATAGTTAGTTCCCAAAGGTTTCACCGGGACGTGCTAGGCAGGTAACAGCTAAGCTAGCTAGTTGTTTCATGGTAACTTCCGGGTTTTTCGCCATCGCTTTTTGTCACATTGAAACAGTATTTTTGTCATGAAAACGTTAACAGCAAATTCTGAAATCATCCGTCCATGTGTGTTAAGGATGTATATGTGTACTGTATTGTCCGATTGACGTTTGATGGTGTTGATTGATAGATATGTAGTTGTTTATTGAGCGTGGCTAGCTCCGCTAGCTCCGTTGGCTTCTCTACACAGACGAGTGTGTTGTGACAGGTGCTGATAGCTTGTTGTACTTGCAGAGTAATGGCAGTATTTTACACACCTGAATTACAAACAGAGGTTGCATTGGGGCTTTGGTCATTATTGGTTTGAGAGTTCTGTTATCAAGAAAAAATGATCGGAAGAATTGCTGCTGCTTTGAGGAGCTCTATAACAAATTATAATTAAATATTAGAATATATTGTGACAAAGGGAGGCTAGGGTTCCTCTAAGAATGGCAGGGAAGTCTGGTAACAAACACGAGCGAAGCAGAAATGTGGAAAAATATACAAGTTTTATTTTTGACACCAATAGTTAAAAAAAAAACAACCTTTTATTTACTGTTATTAAAATCTTTAAGATATAGCAGTGAAGGAAAACAAAACACTATTCACAACAGGTTTAATGAGCCAAACCAAACAGCAGCGGCTAACTGTTGGGTAGAGCACAGTACTGTTAGAATACACAAGACACTTAAACCCAACTTGTGCGGAACGCGCCATACCTCGCATGAACATCAACCCGGCGCAATATGAAGCTCGGGCATGAAGCGGACACCAGCAGACCACCACCTGCCGTGACACAGGGTTAGCCAAGAAAACAAACACTACTCACATGTAGAACTCACATTACTCATCTGCCCCACACACACGACCCCAAACCCGAAGCTCCAGAGGTGTGCTGCTCTGGTTTGCGCACCGGCTTTACATTACTGCTAATTAGCTGCCGCAGCTGGTAGGCAGACAGCGAGGGAGCGAGTGCGTTCACTGACCGCCGGAATAAAACCCATAAGTAACCCGCCTGGTTACAATATTCTAAGGTTTTAAATTAATACATTCGGACGCGAAACTAGCGGTATTCTTTTACTTATATATTGTGTTAGCAGTGCGTTGCTTTAGTGCCATTTCATCAGTGATTGTTGTACAGCTTACAAGAAGTTGCGCTAATGCTAATGTTAGCATATGTATCAGATCGCAAATAAAATTAAAGCCGCAAGCGGCGTCGAACGGCCCTCGCCGCACCGCGCGACTCCCTGCACCGCGCGCACTCCCCGCACCACGCCGCCCCGCACCAAGCCGCCCCGCACCAAGCCGCCCCGCACCAAGCCGCCCCGCACCAAGCCGCCCTGCACCAAGCCGCCCTGCACCATGCCGTCCCGCACCACGCCGCCCCGCACCAAGCCGCAATGCGCCGCTCCACACCGTACCACGCAGCACCGCTAAAAGGAGGTGGCACCGCCGTGTGATGATTTGTTTCCGTAGCCATAGAAGAACTTAGTCAAATTGTAATGAATATGATAAGTAGAGCTGGTTTGGCTCCCCATGTAAACTTTGACACAGTCTGTAGGGGGCGCTAATGGGCCAATTTCCAATATTTCACTTTAACCTGACCTAAACCCTGGAATTGAACAATGGATTAAAGTTTTGTGCAAATCAGACTTTGTTTGTGCAAACAGGAGCAAAATTAATGTTGTCAAAAAGAGCAAAAAAAAACCTCACATTTTGCCGCTCCGCTGCTCAAACAACGTTTCACTGATCATAAATCCCTGAGGTCATTTTGACGGTACATGTGTTGAGATGATGTGGAGCGATTTTGAGGCGAATAGGTGAAACGGCCGAGGCTAGTTTGATGTTTGTGTGAGGTGTACATTTGCAATGAATCTGGAGCGTTTGTCGTCGCCACGGCAACAGGGTAAAAAATAAGCCTTGGACCCTATTGACTTTTTGAATCAAGAGTGCAAAACAGATTTATGTGCAAAATTTCAAACATTTTGAAAAAACTAAATTTGAAAATGCCCATCTAAAACTTTGAAATAGTCTGTAGGGGGCGCTAATGTGTCAATGTGAATCATTTAACTTTCAAATGACCTAGACCCTAAAGTTGAACAATGTATTAAAGTTTTGTGCAAATCAGACTTTGTTTGTGCAAACGGGAGCAAATTTAATGTTGTCAAAAACGGCCAAAAAAAGGTCACATTTTGCCGCTCCGCTGCTCAAACAATGTTTCACTGATCAAAAATCCCTGAGGTCATTTTGAAGGTACATGTGTTGAGATGATGTGGAGCGATTTTGAGGCGAATCGGTGAAACGGCCGAGGAGGAGTCGCTTTCCAACCGACATGTATGAAAACTTTTGCTGTTCATTTTTCCATTTTGCAGTGAAATTTATGGGCTTCCTGTTTGTCAGAGGGCGGAGCCATAATAATATTTTTTTCATGTCTTGACTCAAGGAACATGTGTACCAAATCTCATGTTTCTACGACAAACTTGACCTCCAAAAAGTCCCATAGGGGTATTATTTTGGCTGTTGTAGGTGGCGCTGTTCTGGCATTTTTTGAGTCCCATAAAAATAAACACCAAAATATCAAATTTTTCGCCAGGTCTGATTTTTGGGCCAAAATTAACAACTTTTCATGCATGTTCAGGGGGTCAAATTAAGGCTCAAAGTGCAGAAGAAAAAAGAAAGAAAGAAATAAATAAATAAAAAAGGAATTTTTTTTTTAACGTCTCGAGCAAAAACAATATAGGTTTCAATGGCATGTGATACATCATTTTAAAGCTTTTGAGTTTACGCACGCAACTGTCACGTTTTGGTGAGTGACGGGCGCTGACGCGTCCGTCACGCACCGCCACCATTTGTTTTCACCATTGTGAAAGCAATAGGCCCTTACCCCGTTCGGGGCTCGGGCCTAATAAAAAAGGAATTTTTTTGTTAACGTCTCGAGCAAAAACAATATAGGTTTCAATGGCATGTGATACATCATTTTAAAGCTTTTGAGTTTACGCACGCAACTGTCACATTTTGGTGAGTGACGGGCGCTGACGCGTCCGTCACGCACCGCCACCATTTGTTTTCACCATTGTGAAAGCAATAGGCCCTTACCCCGTTCGGGGCTCGGGCCTAACTAGGTGGCTCTGTGTTATGAGGGCGTAGGGGAAATGAGAAGCCATTGAGCGAGTTGGGGGGCGGTGCTAAACATTCAAACATTGCAGAAACGGGTATAGCGCCTTTAAATGTATTCCTTAGAAGTGTTTTTTATTCTTTATTTTTATTATCTCTCTGACTGTTGCACTGAGCAAAAGCAATTTCCAAGTCTGTGACTTCTTGTTACTTACTTGGCAATAAAAATGATTCTGATTCTAATATGTGAAAACTAAAGGCACAAAAACGTGTAGAGCCAGTTTTGGACGAGTCAGGTCTGTGTGAGGACGTCACTCTCAGCCCATGGCCTTCCCCAGGTTTACTGACTACCTGAAGGGTCATTCTGCCTGAGAATCACAGTGCGGTTGATTATTCTGCAGGATGTTGCATTTGATCATCTGCTAATTAGCTCAGGCATGGCACCAAGCTCTAAGTTATTCATGTGAGCCTGAAATATAATGTCCTTATTTACACAGTAAAAACGCACACAGGCTAAAGAAGCATTCCGTCTCATACAGCGTTCAGTCTTGACAAGCATTTCCCTGATCGGCTCGCTCTCTGATCATATAGACACATACAGGGGACAAGCCTTACAGCAGTTCTAACATGCAACAAATCATTACATTCACAAAGCTACAACTGCAGAGCACATGAGGATACACACAGGAGACAGACCGTCTCAGCTGTTCTGTCTGTGATAAAACATTTCTCAAAAGAACATCTCACTGAACACATGAAGACACACACAGGGGACAAACCTTACAG